TGACTGGCCTAAGATGTCGAGCTTAGTCCGAGTATCGACAACTAGCATTTGTCTAGTATGGTGCACAAGAGGACTATATTTCCACTGAGTTTATGTTTTATTATATCAAATACTTATAGAAGCTTTCATAAGGCCTTTAATAACCACCTAAGCCTTTTTTTTTTTTTAGTTTGCGCCATATTTTTTATTTTTAAGGCCTCCTCCTAATAAAAGCTTGTTTCTACTTATAAAGCCTAGACCTTGTAGAAACTGCATCTAGTTTTGAGATACAACTTCACTTTTAAGCATAATCTTTGGACTCATAGGCCTAGGCCTTTTCTAACAGCACAATCTGCAGATCTGTACTGAAGTGTTAACACTTGTGAGAAACACAAGGAACTTATGACAATGACCCATACAACACATTAACTCACTAAACGTCAAATGAAGTATGGATATTAGCTTCAAAGTTTTAAATCATTTTAATTTAGGGATAGTTTCATAATACATATAGAAGGGAAATTTTGAATTTATGAAAATTAACATGGGAAACTTCTATCCTGGCATACTCTTATAGTTAATGGACTATTTTGGGTGCTGAATATCAAAATCTATTTAAAATGTAAATAGCGGCTTTTCTAGAGAAACTAAGAATGACTAGATTTTATCTTTGTTGAGGAGGGGTTTTTAAAAGAAAAAAAGTTTATATAAGATTGAGACTTTACATTATAGAGATAGATGTAAAGTGCACCTTAAAAATCCAATACAAAAAAGTATTTTAAAGTTGGAAAATCTTTTAATGACCATTTCGATATCAAGATGCATGGATATAAAAAAAGAATAAGATTTTCAAATCTTAAAGTTAAATTTCATGATTTTCAATTGTTTGTAGATTTGCTTCATATGCACCACTTTTAGAACTTTAAATTTCATAATTAAGCTTGATTATGGACCTGTACACTGGAATTGCATCTTCCTGCAAAATTTATAGGTGCACCTTGCTTATACAACATAAGATGGGCACCTTATAAAAACCTCACCCTTTATGAAGTATCACAATTGCACCCAAATTTTGTACAATTATAATATGTCGAAATCTTATGTCTTGTAAAATATATTTTTTGTGAAAAATATTTCATATGAAATAGATCTTTGTTGTTTGGAAAGTAATTGAGCCCAACCTGGAAGATGCATTTTTGCTATGAAAAGGATTAAATATGATGAATCTCTAGAGAGGAAGATGCATTTTTGCTATGAAAAGGGATTAAATATAATGAATCTCTAGAAAGGAGAATACGGTAGAGATAGAGGGAGAAAGAAATGCGTAAGCAAGATGGAAGATTTTTGACGTACGAGGAGAGATAGAGAGAGAAACAAGAAACAAAGAATGATTTTGGAGAGTAAGAAGAGAGATCGAGGGGTTAGAGTGAGAGAGCGTGGTTAGAGAGAGAGGATGAAGGAGAGGGTTGGGAAGAGATTACAAGACTATTTTTTATTTGTTTGTTTAGCATTGTGTGGAAATCAGATAGGAAATCAATGTTTTGGCTTGTAACAAGAAAAAATAATTTCTCTAATTTGACCTCAAAAAAAAAAAAGGGAAAATTATAAAAACTCACAAAAATAGACTCCTATGCAATTTACCCCAACCAAACTTTTTTTTTCACTTTTTATTCCAAAATATGTTTTCTTAGCAAATACCGTCAAGCAAAAAAAGTTACATATTTTTTTATGAAAATATCCTTTTTCGTACTTAAAAAATTTGATGTTGGCCGGACATTCACATAGGTTTACGCATAGTACTAAAATCTACATGGGTTGTCGGACCGCCATGTACCAATTGCCATACCCCGTTAAACTTAAAAAAGTACCGGACCGCTTCATTAACCCCGTTAAACTAAAATAAGTGTTGGACCGTCTTCATTATCTGTTGGACCGCACTGCATATATAGATTTGTCCAACTGCATATATAGATTTGTCAAACCGTATATATAAAAGTGTCAGACTGCATATATAGATATGCCGGCCTGCAGATATAAAAGTGTCGAGCCGCCATATAGATATGCCGAACAGCATGTTTGTCCAGGACCATGAGTATCGGACTGCCATAGAGATATGTCGGACCACATTTTGTCCAAGAAAAAGGTGTTGGACCGCAATGTACATTTACCGGGCCGCATGTTTATCCAAAAAGAATAGTACCGGACCGCCATGTATATCGGCCAGACCGAACTCTTGTCCAGAGGAGAGAGGCATGGGTAAAATTCAAGGACGGGTAGTTTAGTCTTTCTTTTCTTTTCTTTTTTTGGTTGAGGGTATTTGTTAGGAAATATTTTTTAAGGTAAAAAGTGAGAAACATATTTCTATTGGGGTTAAATTGCATGAAAAATATGTTTTTGGGGATTATTTGTATAAAAGAGTTTTTGTCCCAAAATTTTACATCCAGTTAGTAGAAATGGGCAATCTCCATGAGAAACCATTTCTAAAAATATTTTTTCAAAGTTCCAAACTGCCGTATAATATTTTAGCCCATAGGCTAACGCAGTCTTCTTTTATTTTTTTGGGGGTAATTAACGCAATCTTCTTTGACTTAGACATGCCATAACCAACTGAGACAGGATAATAGATTAATAATTATCGGTTGAAAATTCAAAGATACTGGTAGTATATAATATTGCTAGTGGCAATTCTAAAGAATGACAGAGATTGTTGCACCTTTTATATAAGGAAAAAGTTTACATAAGTTATCAACCGTATACTATGGAAGTAAGGACTATGGAAGTAAGGTGCGGACTATGGAAGTAAGGTGCACCCGAAAAATCCATCGAAAGAGGTTGTTAGAAAATTATTTAATTGTTATATAGATATGAAAGAAAAATATGAATTTCAAGTACTAAAAATAGCGTCATCTTATACCACATTATTTAGACTTATCCATTTTCAAAATTTTCGAGTGCTCATAGATGTTCTAGATTTGCACTATTTTCGGAGCTTTCAATTTCATTATGGGAGTGAAAAAGACATTTAGGCCTTGATAAGAGTTTTGCCACCGAAATGCATCTCTTAATGAGATTTTGAGGTGCACCTTACTGTGATTGTTTAAGGACAGCATCTTATATAAACCTCAACCTTTATATGACGGTGCCCTTTTTGTCATTTTTTTTTTTTTAAAAGGAAAATTCTTGAATTTAGAATGGTGGATAATTTTGGGCCTAAATAATTAGGAGTGGCAATTGGTCGGGTCAGGTCGAGTCTGGTCCGGGTCCGGCTTCAAAGGAAATAAAACAAAAAAAAAAAGGGACCGAGACCTATAATATATATATGAAAAAAACTGAGATTAGCCCACTAGCTCATATGAATATATGAGCCCAACAGCCTAGATTGAATTTAGACCGATCTGACGATCACAGATGTGCCCAACGGCACCTCAAATTGTAGAATTAAATATACACCTCAAAAATCTATCGGAAAAGGTTGTTTTAGTATTGAGAAACCCTTTAATTGATCATCTCAACATCGAGATGTATGAATATATATGTATATAAAAAAAAAAGAGATTTTGAGTCCCATAAATAGTTCATCTTGCAACACATTATCTAGACCGTCCATTTTCAAGATTTTCATATGTTTATAGATTTACTTGGATTTAACCAGTTTTGAAGTTTAAAATTTTATAATTAGATATTAAAATAGATTTTCAGATAATCCTAGGAATTTTTTACACCAAAATTACATATTATGATAGAATTTGGAGGTGCGCTTTAATTGGATTGTTTAAAATTGCAACCTTATAGAAACCGCACCCATACATAAATATATTTAAAAGTTATGTTAAATATCATGTATTATTTAAGGGAAAAGCTTATATAAAGCCTAGGTTCTAAACAATCAAATTAGAGCCTACCTCAAAACTTTCATCAAACTTTCACCAAGATGGGCTCTAATGTGATTGTTTAGAGCCTTAGCTCTATACAAACTGCACCCATTATTTAAATATTATAACTACAACTATATAATATTTATTTAAATATTATTTAATAAACATTATTCGGGTTGGGTCCAAATGGACCTGTTCGGGTCCAATATTTGGACCCGGACGCAGGCCGGGTTCTTGGACCCATACCCATACCCAGACCCAAGTTGGGTTCGGCCGTCAGGTTTGGGTCCGGGTCCGGGTCCATTGCCACCCCTACCTAGAATCAAAATAAGGTGGGGCGGGGCCTCATTGAATTATGGTAAGTGTATGATACGTTCATAATGCAATGTACAGTTCGCATAATGAGAGAGATTGTTCTCTCTCAAAACACAGCTACAATGATGCTGATAGACAAACCTGGCTTTACATTAGTTGCGGACTTACAGTTGCTCTTTCACACTTAACTATGAGAGAGACTAGAGAATTTGTGTCTTGGCTTTGTATTGCTCCCTCACGACACATATATCATGAAGCTCGATAAAACACTATAGAGTTGCTAGTTCTTTTTATGATCAATAAAATTAACTAACTTTTTTAAAAAGAAAGAAACACTAAAGAGTTGTCTGGAAAGAAAACACTAAAGACAAAGAAAAAGGAAAAAAAATATACCACATGAGGCAGTTAAAAATTTACTGGCTGCCAATAACTGGCAAAACAACCGCATCTTAAAGATAAAAAAAAAAAAAAAATAGATTCGGCAAGAGGAAGCACGCGGGGAGTCGAGACCTCCTCACACACCATCCAGAGTAAATAAGAGATGAGCTCTTCTTTCGCTCTCTACAAAACAACCTTTTTTTTTCATTGAACCAAAATCCATCTGATTTTGATCTGCATCAATAATTACCACTCAAATAGATTAAAAAGAGAAGGAAAACGAAAACTTGTAAGTACTTAATCCCATCCACGATAGAAGAGAGGAAAAATATCCAAAATGGTGGTTCTCTCTCTGCAACTCTATCCCTCCCTCTCACCAAGGATTCCTAAGAAGTTATCCCCCCCTCACACTATTCCAAGGTTCCATGCTTGGGGGCATTGCACAAAACTTACTATACAAAATGCACGATGATTCTAAAATACACTAACTTATCAAAAAGAATAAACAATAATTCCCAAGTATCACAATTTCTTCCTAAGCATCCCACAGGCATCTTACACCACATTTGCTTATTTACATAAGCACCTACACAGCAGGCAGCGAGAGAGAGAGAGAGAGAGGGGGGAGATTATGCTCACAACATTCCCATCTAGCTTTGAATTGTTGTTGTGAAGTCGAGGGAGCCATATGTTGTGGTGTCCCCTATGGAAGAGTGTCCAGGCCCTGACCCACTACCTGTCCTAGGGGTTCTAACTTTGAGATTCAAGAAATCAGAGATAAGGCCGGGCCTTGATATAGTTAGATCATCAATGCTTGCACCTTCTGCTAACATGCTAACAACGGTAGACATGGAGGGTCGAAGCTTTGCACTGTCTTGCGTACATAAGAGAGCAACTCTGATAAATCTTGAAACTTCCTTTGAGTTATAGTCCCCATAGAGAGAAGGGTCCACTAGCTGCAAGAGTTCATCGGCCTCGTATAGTTGATAGGTCTGGACGATGAGAGTGCAATTGGTTCAGTCATTTACGTTTGAAATGTGATAAAAATTCAAAGTAGAGAGAAAATGTATGGTTTGCCCGAAAACAGAATCAATCGAAGATTTTGTCAACTCTAGTTTTTTTTTCATCAAGAAAAAGTTTAGTAATATAGAAACCTCTCTCTTTCTCTCTCTCTCTCTCTCTTCTCTGTTTGCGTGTGTGTGGGCATGTAAGTGTCGGCCCTGTTAGTGTTTCCTATTCTAACCCTTGTCCTGTGACAGTAGTGAAAATACCTCCACAGGCAAAAGACATATATTTGGATGGTATATGGACAATTGAAAATTCTATCTAAAACTTACAAGGAAACAGTAAATGGAGGAAGAAAGTGCCAGAAAATAGTTGCAATGCTCTAAATTTCAGAAGTTTTATGTTCATGAAAGGAACCATAGAGGTGGTGTTGGAGGCTAAGCAGAAGAAAAATAAGTCGAAAGTTACTATACTTAATGTGTTAGCACATTTTAACAGGTCACTGCTTAATTAGTGCTGTTTTGTTTTATTGCATGCAATAAGCCATGGCTACTGATCATTTGTTGTAGAATCGCAATTAAAGACCTTTAGTAGTTCGGTACTTAATTTCTCCTGTGTATAGGCCAATCATTTTGAAATTCTAAAATGGAAGAACTCATAGTCAGGATAGGACACATATAACATGCACCAATAAATCTTCATCATCCTTCCAAGTACCATCACATTTTTTATTTTTTATTTTCTATCTTAATAATATTTTGTGCATCTCAAAGTTAAAACTTCAGGGTTTAATAACACATCTAAAAGTTCCATTTTGTAAATCCATCCTCTTCTAAGCATAAACAGGGTTGGTTCCCTTTATTATGTAGTCCAATTGAAAGTTAAAGAGGTGATTTATAGCTCCCAAGAGCCCTTCTCCCATAAAATTTCCTCATATTTGCATTAAGAAGAATCTTGTCACAATTTAATTTTTGTGCTTACTCTTGCTTTAGCAGTAAAACTATCAGCAGGTCTTATAAATCAGGTTTTCTCATATAAGAGAAATCCAGCACTCGTCCGAAACAAGGTTTGTCCATTGTTTAGTATTGGAAAGTGAATACAGTAAATATGGTTCTTTTTTTAATTATTCCAGAAATTGATGAAGATTCAATATAAAAATATCTTCCACTTGACAGACATTTTCCATTCAATTTGCATTAATGATGTTGGTTCTCATACTTCTATATCGTTTTTCTACTATCAGTGAATAGTTGTCTGTCCAAATGTCAAAATTTTAGTAGACAATAATATCAAAGATATTGAGTCCAAGGAAAGGGCATGGCAAGGAGAGCAGATAATGATTGACTAGTATAACTTGAAAGCAAATATAACGTACAAAATCATAAACATAATTTGGGGAGGACCCCTTACTCTTTCAAGAAGATAATGGTCTTCTAAAGGTAATCTTCTGTCTGTGTTGCACCTGCCACTGATAATTTCTAACATGAGTACCCCAAAGCTATAGATATCTGCTTTCCTTGTTAGGTGTCCTCGTATTGCATATTCTGGTGCCAAGTAACCTCTACAAATATATAATCAATAAAGATATTAATGACAAAAAAATTTAATAAGTAAAGCCAAAGGTTTTGATCATATATGACATAGACTACATGCAATTGGAAGGTGACATGCTTAATCATTAATGCAATTGAAAGGCCCCACCACAAAGTGAGGGTTCTTGTGACGAGTTTGTTTCTTTACACAATACTCAGAATGGTGAATTTACTGACACATGCCTTACATGAGACATAGAATAAGACAAAAAATAAAAGGTAATGACTGTCCATTTTTTTAAAATTTGAGATATTTAGGGAATTTCTAGCTTCTAGTGAAGGTCAGCCAGAGGAGGAAAAGGAAAAAGACTACTCTAACTGTGTCTCAGAAGAGTGGAAGTTTACATTTGTAGATTAATCGAATTTTAATATGATTGTAACACTTCGATCGATTCCCAACAAGGATGGGTAAGACAAAAGGTAAGTCAATCGAATATACATTATAGTGCTTAAACATTATTTAAAAGGCTAAAATAAATTGACTTGTAAATATCAGAAACTTACATTCAAACCCAGAAACCCTGTAATAATTGTAACTTCTTTATTATAGACACGAAAATAATCCTTCTGATAAGAGTACCAACACAGAGAAAAAAATATTTTTATTCTTTTTACTTTTTCATGGCTAAAACTAAGATTCTACTCTTAACAATGTAAACCATGATCTCTTTTCCGGGAAACCCTGAGATCTGAAAATAATAAAGACCCAAGACAGGAAAAAAGGACTGCAAAACTAGGGACTGAGGGCGCACTTACATGGTTCCAGCAACACGGGTGCTGATGTGAGTTTCATTATTTGGGAAAAGCTTTGCTAGACCAAAATCTGATATTTTTGGGGTTAGGGTCCCATCTAGAAGGATATTGCTAGCCTTGATATCTCGATGCACAATGCGGGGCTTGACTTCCTCATGGAGATATGCAAGACCACGGGCAACCCCTACGCAGATATTGCAGCGTGTTGTCCAATTAAACACTAAGTCGTCACGTGCATCACCTGCAAACAAATAATCAATAAAACCTTGAAATTTCTTTCTTTGCCACATTGGTCAAATATTTCTTTATCAAAAGCGCCGAATGCAACTGAATTCAAATAATTTTTTTTTAAAAAAAATCATGAACACCCAAATCATCTGAATTTGAATAGAGAAATACCAAGTAGGGTTTGTGCAAGGCTATTATTCTCGAGATAGCCATAGACCAATATTCTATTATTCCTTTCAACACAGCATCCATGAAGCTTGACAAGGTTTTCATGCTCTATACTGGATATCACATTGATCTCCGTCAAGAACTCTTGAGTTCCTTGTTTTGATTCAGCAGAAAGAACTTTTACAGCCACAAGTCTCCCATTTTTTAGCTTCCCCTGCCAATCCATCGCCCAAGGTTTTACAAGATATCCACCAGAATTCAAAAGAGAAACACTGACGTGATGACATGATAACGTTTCTACCGTTTTGCAGAATATATACTAACAAACAATGGAGACATTCAAGTATCAAAACTAGCAAAATGCTTGTTTAGGAGTCTTACCTTGTATACAGAACCAAAACCTCCCTCTCCAATTTTATTGTTTGGACTAAAATCATCAGTGGCATTTCTTAATTCCTTGTAAGGGTATCTATGGATACCGAGATTATCTGAAAAAATGTTGTTCACTATAAATTTTGTTTCTTCAAAACATTGGGTTACACAGAGAAGTAAATCCATAATTAGATTGTACTAAGTATCAAACATTAAAAGAAGAACATGGTCAATGTAGGACACATATCGGTCCAATAAATATAAATACCTTGAACGCCGGAAATGTTCTGGTTCGACCCAGATGAATGTCTCTTAAATAAGAAAGAGAAACACATCATAACTGGATGATGTATCAGTTACTGGCCTCTCCGCCTCAAACTGTGAAATACCTAAGGAAAAATAGAATAAAGACCTGCCAAAGAAGAAAATATAAGGATATTCTCAGTGCTTCCAAGTTCCATTGCCTTGTAAAAACCAAACGAACAATGATTCTCAGAAGACAGCTAACATCATAAATGTCAAGTCAAGAGAAGCTCCACTGATAGATCTTTGCAGTTTGCGTAGATGTAATAGGATTGGTAGGTTATATTATGGAGGTTTTCTTCCACAAAGAAAATTCGTTTCTTGATATGTGTGAGGGCGAGAGATGAAAGCTGTTGTTTAACATGTGGGTAGCCCCGATCAACCAAGCCAATCACCAAATGACCTAAAACTTTTCACAGGTGAGACCTTAATGGAGCAAAGAATTTTTCAATTTTTATTGTTTCAGCTTGCTATTCATAATGATTAAAATTGATCAGGTGCTTTTCATAACAGAGCTTATTCTTGCACAAGTTACTGGACTCAGCTTATTCACAGAAGTTTGGCCTGTAGCCACGTCCACCTTTGATTTCAAACTCAAAATCTCAAACTTATGTTTGTATCCCTGAATTTATTAATTTGAAAGCTAATGTGCCTTGTCATAATATTGCAATAGGTGTGATGGAAACAAAAGGTACTCTACGTTTGATCTGACCTTGGACCTAATAGAACTATGGTTCTTACATCTGTATCAGTTAAGAACCCAAAAAAATGCTGATTTCATGAAGTACCCCAAAACCCCAATTTCACGAAGTTGGTGCCTAGCTCTTAAATGAAATAATCTTAAATGAAATAATGCATCTACAGTGGTCCATTATAGGCTCCTTTGATTAACTGATCAATGACTTCTTGCATCAACATAACTCATGGCGTAGACAAGGTTTCCTATGAGCTGCTGTTTATTTGCTAATGTATTGCCTCTACCAAATTTACTCATGATCATATAATCAACCCAGCCCAAACCACACAAATGTACCTAAAGTGATCCGTAATTTCGGCAACAACTAAATCATCTATGCTCAACTGCAAAAATTGTACTAATTTTGCATATATCAGTCAAATAATATCTCCCAAGAACTTGTAATCATTTCAATGGTTTTTCCAACCAAATATTGTGGCATCCAGAGTCTCTGCATAATGTAACTACATAAAAGGAGAGAGAATCCTTTTCACTGCTAAAGGGGGAAGCACCCCTTCAAGTTGAAGGAAACATGGACCAAATGGAGGGTGTAGCAACAAGAACGCATTAAGATTTACAAACTTGCGAAGGAGTACAAAAGCAAAAACTTACCGTAAAACACAAATACATGGAATCCAGCTTGAGGACCATGCTATGGGCAACAACAGCAAATTACAAGCCAAACACCTCTATGTGCAGATAAAACACCATTTACGATCTCCCCTTTCAAGACATGACCACCTTAGACTTGGATAATGATTTTGAGGGTAGCCATAAAGGCACAAAGAAGGAACCCATGTTAAAAGATCTGTATTGAATGTCAAACAGCTCAGGAGTTCCAATGGGGTAATACTATGGCATTAGGTTACATGCAAATTATAGCTACCCAACTTCAAAAAAAAAAGAAAAAAGTAAGATGATCACTGCCCGACTGATGAATTGCTTATTTGTTCTGAAATAATGCCACTAGGAGTGGAATTCCTATTTGTGAACATATTTTCTTCATTTTTATGTTGTCTGGACCTTTTGATGCCTCCATCTCCATGACCCTCAACTTTTCAAGGTAGAAGGTCCCTAACCAGTTAATTAACAGCTAAAAATCGACCAAATCTTGATGGAGGTTGTGCAGACCATAAATTAGAAGATATTCCTGTGCCTTGAGCAATAAAACCACATGAACAATGCACAGAAAACCAGTAGAAACTTAGAAATTCAAGTAAAGCAGGTACAAGAAAACAGTATACGCTTGGATTTAAAATAACCCAAATTATAGATGTTATTTGTTTCTCATCAATAAAAAAGATCTAATTGAAAAGGACAAGAAAACAACAAAGATGAAAGAAAGCACCAAAACAAACAATTAACTTTTTCGAACTCATGAATTAAGCAAGACAGAGATAGAATCGTATTTCAGACAGAGAGAGAGAGAGAGCAACCAACTCAATATATAAAGAATTATGCATAATTATTTATGTTTCCATACATAATTATGCATAATTCTTTATCGTTTTCATACATTGCATAATAAATATTCTCTGAAATGAATAAAAATGGATTCTTCAATGTTACAGAACTTAAAAAATGCATGAAGCTGAACTGGAACACTCGGTTTACAAGCATATGAATAATCATGAAAAATAGTAAATGCTAGAAAAAGATCCAATTTTTTATAATCCATATATTATGGTGACACCCAATTTTATATAAGAAAACGTATTCTATAAAGTTTTCAACAAAAAGAGGGAACAGATCAGAACAGTAACTACAATGAAACCACAAGTTCATAAAGGAAAACTGACATACAAAGCTAGAGAGAGAGAGAGATTCATGAAAAAGAACAAAAAAAAAAAACAAAAAATTCATAAAAAAGAAACATAGAGAGGAATAGGATCAGCTTACCTGTGAGATTTTGAGGAGAGAGCAATTTGAAGAGGTTAGAGAATTGAAGAAGAAAAGAAACAGTTTTATGTCCATGAACAACCATTCGAACAGTGATAGAAAGAGAATGACTTAAATCCCCCTAACTTTGGTTCAAATCTTCCTAGAACAACCATTTCTCCCTTGTCTACCAAAAAAATTACCAATTATACTCTTCCCACTAGTGATTTTACTGAAATGCCCTTGAAGGAAAAGAAGCGATGCTCCCCTTCAAGCCAAAGTGATTTTGTGCTCCCCGGGCAGCAAATTTCCCATTCAAGTTTGACATGGTCAATGGGGCTAGCAACGGGCCAGGCCAACCCTAGCTCTAGCCCAGCCTTAGTCCCCATAGGGCCGGCTTAAGCCTACAGTGAGCCACAAAGACATTGGCCCCAGGCCTAGCTCCAGTCATATCAGGGTTGGGTCGAGTCAAAGAGAATCAAACAATAATTAAGGAACAAAAAAAAAAAAATCTTAAAGCCAGACGAACCTGGCCGGCCATGTCCCAGCTTTACCCTCAGGCTGTGCTGGCTCACATTGGCCTGGCACTCAAGATACATTTTGTGGCCAAGGCCCACGTTTTTAGGGCCGGGCCACATGGCCCATTGCCCAAGGTAGAGCTAGCGATGGGGTAGGCTAGCCCTAGCCCAATTGAGGGAACCCACCTGAAGGGGCTCTAGGCGAGCGTTGGCTCAGTCGACATCAAGCCAAGCTAGGCTAATAAAAATATTGACAAAAACAAAAAAAAAATACAAAGTCGGGTTGGACTGACTTTCATGGCCCAGCCTTGGCCTAACCCTTGGGCCACAGCTCAAGCCCTAGGATGGGTTGGCCTGACCAACCCTCCTAATCCCTATGAAGAATTTCTTAATTCGGAACCTTCTACTCTCTTGGGTAACAAAGTTATATAACTTCCAAGGATAAATTAGTAACGACATAAAGAGGACATAGAGAGGCATTTTACATGTCTAAGGGTAGTGTGGTGTTTTACGTATTCACATTTTCACCCATGGTGCTGAAAGTCTACCTTGGTTTCGTATGGACTTGGTCAGGAGAGAGAAAGGAACAGATGATAGATGAAGGACACTCCGCGGAGAGAGAAAGAGAAAGAAAGTAGAGAGAGAATGAAGAGAAATAAAGTAGAGAGAGAGAGAGAGATCAACTACAATTATAGAAGTTGACGTGTATGTTAAGGGCTTTGACTTAACCCTACTCTTCCCACCGATATTGTACGAAATTTTTAATATAATAAAAGAGGTGGACAACTGAAACCAATGTCTGAAAAAGTGAAATAAAAATTCTCTCGATTCTTATCAGAGTAATCATCCTATCATGCCCTCCTACATTCATGTTAGTAAGACTCTAAAAAGGTTATCATTTAATTCGATATAAATCTATAAACAAGTTAAAGTCCCACACTCATGTGATGATTTTTTTAAAGATTTGTACCAAATTTAATGATAGTCTTTTAAAATCTTATACATATAGATGCGGAAGGATCTTATAGGATCACATTTTTTTAACACAAATGTTAAAAGGTACAGTTGGCATACAAATGCATCCGTAGGTATAGACGTAAAGTGCACCTTCAAATTTTATTATGGTATATAATTTTGATGTAAAATGTTCTTAAGATTATCTCAAAATCTATTTTTATATCTAATTATAAAATTTAAATTTCAAAAATAGTTGAAAATCAAGTAGATCTATAAACATATGAAAATTTAAAAAATGGATGGTGTAGATAATATATACTTAAAATCTTTTTATTTTTCATGTTCATCTATCTCGATGTTGAGATAATCAATCAAAAGGTTTTTCAACATTAAAACTACTTTTTCCAACTTTTCAGGTGCGTCCATAGTTCTACACTATAAGGTTGCATCCTTATATAAACTTTTTCCAACCCGTGTTCTTTTTTTTTCCAAGACACAAAACATCCCACTAACAATTTTAGGAATATAAGGTAGACAAGCAATAATATATGTGTGTCTGGAAAAATTTATGCAGGACAACATGCATATGCAAAACCTAAATAAAAATTCTTTATGAGTTGGAATAGCATCCAATTGATCGTATCAATCTCTAGATCTAAGGATATAATAAAAAAGGATTTTTAAGTCCTTAAAATAGTGAATTATGTAATACATTATTGAGTTTTTTTTTTTTTGGAGAAACAACACATTATTGAGTTTCTTTTATAATAAAAGTAATATCCAATTGATCATATCAACCTTATATATAGAGATAATTAAAAAAAAGATTTCAAGTATTAAAAATAGTATATTTTGTAACACATTATAAAATATATATATATATGTTCGATCTGCACTAACTTTGGAGCTTTTAACAAAGCAATTGCACATTCTTATAGAATTAGAGAAACAACTTGCTTTAGTTACCATAATTATATATAGTATTCAAAATATAAAATTATGCATGAAACTTATCATATGATATATGGGTCGGAGCCTGGCCCAAGCCCGCCCAAGCCCCAATTCTCACATTTGAGTGGGCCGGTCAAGTTCAGACGTCAATCATATAATTGGGACCTAGCCTAGGCTACAACTCAATCAATCTTTTTGCCTTTAGCCAAGAACCTCGCCTAGGCTACAACCAGTTCCATCTATTCGCCCCTATTTAAGAAAAAAATTTTGGCTGAGGTCGGGCTTATTTATTTAATGTTAATTTAGAAAGACGTCACATCGTGGCACCAATCACCTTAACATCCCTAGTCCGTGCCGTTGGCAGCCCTAGTTTTCACATACACAACCGACGTATTCCCCTTGAAAGATACAATTTGAAGAATTATAATTCAACAAAAAAAAATTGACCCCAATTAGTTGAAAAAAGGCTTCGATGATGGTGATGATTATAATTCAACAAACAATTTAAATTAAAATTTAGGACACATGAAGTCGTAAATATTCTTTAATAACTTATGCATAAGGGTGGAAATGGACCCAACCTGACCCAAGACCCGATGGGTAGACCCGACATCGGGTCCGGGTATGGGTTCAAATTTTAGACCCAAAAGGTCGGGCCTAAGTTCAATCAGATCTGGCCCGAATAATATGGGTATATGTAGGTATAATAGGTTTGTTTCTTAGGAATTTCCAAAGAATGTGGGTATTCATAAATGTTGGACAATATTGTAAATATTGCTAACAATATGGGTATATGATGGCAAAAAAAAAGGTCAAACAAAGAAAAAGAAGAAGAAGCTCCTAGTCGGCAATAGACCCGAATAAACCCAAAACCCAATGGGTAAACCTGACCTTAGGTCCATATATAAGTTCAAATTTTGGACCCGAGCTTAACCCAAATACCATTCAGGGCCCCACCCATTGCCACCCCAACTTTCACAGCCCATACTTATACAGCCCATGTGAAAAGGGAACATAAACATTTAGCTTAGGGTAAAATTGTCATTTACACCATGGTTTCTACGTCAAAAGACAAAAAAATTTATTGACTATAATGTTGGAGAAAATTGTATTGTATTTTCGTAGTCAACAATGATGGAAAACAGAATGGGCACTTCAGATATTCTTTATGATTACAGGTTCTTTCAATGTCAAGAATTAATAATTTTTTAAAAAGTTATATTAAAATTTTAAAACATATTTATTATTTTAAATTGTTAAAAAACTAAATATAATAATCAAGAAGTTTTCTTAATTTGAGCAACCACGTGATCCTTTGAAGCGCGTAGCTGTTTGTGTTACGGCTGCGTGATCATTTGCCCTGAGTAGCTGTTTGGGTTACGGCTGCGTGATCATTTGCCCTGCGTAGCTGTTTGGGTTACGGCTGCGTGATCATTTGCCCGGCGTAGCTGTTTGGGGTACGGCTGCGTGATTATTTGCCCTCTTTAATGGTTGATTGGTTTTATTAAAGGGTGTGATTTCTGTTGTAAGGTTGTAGCCTTAAACAATCACCTTTAAATTTTATTATAATATATAATTATTGTAAAAAAATAAATAAATATATAGATTATTTCAAAACTTTTTTTCATATCCAAATATAAAATTTAAAAAATGATTAAAATCAATTAGATCTATATATATATATGAAAATCTTGAAAATTGACGGTCTAGATAATGTATCTTAATGTGCATTATTTCTGCGACTGAAAATATTTTTTTTTTCATATTCATATATCTCGATGTCGAGATGATCAATTAGAGGTTTTTTTAAATTAAAACAACCTCTTTCGATGGATTTTTGAGATGCATATGTCGCTCTACATTTTAAGATTGGAACCTCATATAAACTTTTCTTTTTTAAATTGTTTTTGTTAACTATCTAATTAATTAATTAGTTTCAATGCTAACTATCAAATAATTAGTTTTTTCAAAGTTAACTATTAAATAATTAGTTTATTCAATGTTAACTATTAAATAATTAGTATTTTATTCCTATTTATTCGCTTGTTTTCCCTACCCGCACTCTTTCTTCTTTGGACCCGGTCTCTATGTAGCCAAGCCCGCATATGTATAAATGCGGGCCTCGTAACAAATCTATTTTTTAGATGGATTTTGAGACTTAATTTTTAAGTATATGTAATCTCTAACATGGAGGTCCTGAAAATGAAAAAATAAATAAATTTTGAAAACTAACAATAATAAATATAGTAAAAATCATTTAGATTCCAATGTTTTTATATGGAACACCTACTTGCATCCAACTTTAAGATGGATGCTTTACACTTTCAGGAGTGCATACGTAGAAATGCGGTGTAACCTGCATGAAATATTTTTACTTTTGCTTTACCAAACTTCAAAAAACAAAGACCACGTATATTGTGCTCCCATAGGAGCAACGTGTGCATCTCCTCCTTCGAAACTACCTAAAAATCACTAGATAATCATATTCAAAATAAAAAAAATAAAAATTTGAGTTTTCTAGTATTGGATCTCAACATAAAAAATTTAACGGTCTTATTCAATCTTGAGACAATATCTTGAAGGTGTAATTAAGAAATTCTTTTTATTGAAGTTAATATTTAAGTTGAAGAGGTTACATCACACAAAAATTGGGGTCCTAAAATTGATCCTGGGGTTTACTAGAGGGAGTAAATTGACAATATACTACGGTGGGAGTACCATGACTTTCGGGAAAAGGAGTGCGTCTATTCTCTTAGTCTGAAGACCTAATTGAGATGGTTTTTTTGTACTTTTTCAATCTTGAATTTTGAGGACCACCTAACAATCCGCAATCATTGGATGATTATTTTCAAAAGAAAAACAATTTTGAGTTTTGAGTTTTCTCTTGAGACATTATTTTTTCAAGTACATAGAGGGTAGAGGGTAGAAATAGGAATTCAAATCCTACACAGTGCGTGCTCTTCAAAATTGAACAAGGACCGTCTGATTTTTTAATGGCAAGATCTAAGTATTTAAAAACTTGAAATATTTTTTGTTTAAGTAATCATCTAGTAGACGGATGACAGAATTTCGTATATACAAAAAAATCCCCCAAGGAACTATTTTGCCCAAGTAAGTAAGTGTAAAATGTGGTACTGCAAGGTCATATGCTATACACGCGCACAATAAGAGACCACCCTTTGTTAGTGCGATATCTCTCCGTGTTGATAGAAAAGTGTAAATCATTGACTCACGGACAAAAGGACCACGGCCACCTTAAGGGTACACACTACGCAACAAACCAGCATTGGTCTTGAATGTCAAATTTCTAGAAAAAGATTTAAGTTTTCAGATCCAGTAAGGTATTAATTTTTAGGGGTGGCAAACGGGTCATGTCGTGTCCGGGTCCGGGTCCAGGACCAAGACCTGAAAAATTATTATGGGACTTGGACTTGGACCCAATCGAACCTGACCAAAAAATTAAAAAATATATATATTTGATTATTTTTCATAAATTAAGACCTGAAAATATATGTGGGACTCAGACCCGAACCAGACCGGACCTGATTGTACCGAGACCCAAACCCGAATGGTGTTCAGAGCCAATATTTGGACCCGGACCTGACCCACCAGGTCCAATTTTTGAACCCATACCTGGCCCTGGATCGAGTCTACCCTTTGGGTCCAGGTCCATTGTCACCCCTCTGCCAATTTTGTTTCGGAGCATGTCAAGAGTGAGTAAATTCCAAAAGAGTATTAGAGGATTTTTTTGAGAAATTTATCAAAATACCTATAAAAGATTAGTACAAATTACCTATTTGCAACTATTCCAACTTGAAATCATGTTTTATTTTATAGGTATCCTTAAATAAAACCAAAAAACGGGGGTAAAATGTTAAATTGACCATCTCTTATGAGTATTGTGATCCTTTTTATTTTTTCTACCTTAAATTTTACTGAGTTAACATTTTCATTAAAATTTTGGCCGTCTAAAAATAACATGGTCTCTATTCAATCTTGAAATATTGATGTTTTCAGGTGCATATAAAATGTGCATGAGTTCGTTTTGCTTTTCTTTTCCAAAGCTGGTTGCTAAATTGAGGAGGTTATATCGTCAGAGTTCGGGTCCTAAGATTGCTCCCAAATAGGTATTAAATTATACAAGTTTTTAAACTCTGACTACATTGAGGGAGAACAATGTATACAAAATCAATAATTAAAAAAAATGAAATAACTTGAAAATAATGATATAGTGTTATGTTCAAAACAGCGTTTGAAACCACATACTCGTGCTAAGACTCGCCAGCGTCCCGAGCTTGAGTCACCCGATCTCACTTTGTGAGCCCCAATTTGAACCGTTATCTTTTTAAGATGAAAAAGTTGCAAGTCATGATGTTTCGCCCCCTGACTCACCAAATGTTGACCTACTCTAGCAAGTCCTGAGCCGGCTCCGCAATTTTTCCTACTCATGGCCAGGTCGAGAGGTCTCCTGAATTAAACTCGAGACAAAATCTGGTGTCTTGCAAATATTTGTAGGGATTGTTCCCAAATAAACTTATTTATTTTTATTATAAAGAGGTTATAACTATTCTCACTCATTAAATGTCAAATTGAATGAATTTGGATAAGTCATAAAGTCTGAATTTTTTTTGAAACTTTGTATCTATTCAATGACAATCTTACAACCATTCATTATGAAATTTAAGGGACAATAGTGATGATAACCTTCTTGTACAAAAAGTAAATTGTCTCTTTGTATTAATTTTTCATAACTTTTCGAATGGTCAAATTTTCTTTAATAGAAATATTCATATGAAAACTGAACTTCAAAAAATACAATAATAATAGTAATAATAATCAAACAAACAAACAATGCCTATGAGCACTTCGAACTTAACCCTGATGCTGCTGCATTCAAAAGGACACCAAATCAGCCGAGAAACATCAAAAGCAAAATGTACGGGAAACTCGACCACATACCCAAGCGTTGACTGGTGGAACAAAGAGTTGAGTTTGAATCGGATGAGTTTTCCTTGGGTTGATTTTTTTCGACTGTTTGTCAATCAAATAGATTAGGTTTTCAAATTTGTCTGCTGATCATGACTAAATACTCTCTCTCTCTCTCTCACACACGTGTATCAAATAGATTCGGTTTCAAATTTGTCTGCGGATCACGACCAACTACTCTTTTTCACACACTCATTTTTGCATGCTTAATCTAAGTTGTTAAGTTTATGTTATTCCATAGACCGGTAGGCTTATAAGATCATTCCCCACATGCATATAAAGATTCTGCAAGCCCTTAGCTTATACCATAGCATGAGCAATATGAACAGCTGAGAACCGCATTTTACCCAACATTTCTCAAGCATATCCCTTTTTATTTTTAGAAAAACTCATCAAACTGATATAAACTACTCAATATCTTATGGATAGTATGATTTGGAGGAACTTGGTAAAGTGCAGAGGTATAATTCCTTTAGGGTGGGAAGCTTCCTAAATTCACAAGCAAGCCAAGTTCAAACCAATGTTTTTCCAGTGTTGGACAATTTGAAGAACCAATGGCGTAGAAAGAACATATTACACACAATTACAAAAGGTCACCTACAAAGCCAAATAACATCACATATGATATAGCTAGTAAAACGTAATTCAAAATAACTACTCTCGAATAAAGTTAGGTACACCGCACCAATAGATGATAAAATGCGAGAGGACACTTAGCGGGCTAACAAATGAGAGAGTAGACTTAATGAGCTAGCCATAAGTGGCTACCACGAGGTGAGAATTAATTAAAGTGGAAAGCTAAAATGAGCAAATAAGCCCAAAAGACTTGGTAAAAGTAGTAAGAAAAAATTGTGAGCTTCCGGCCTCACTTAAGATACAACACTTAATGGAAGGGAATGGCAGACCAGAATTTGTATACCAACTCCAATTAGTTGAAAAACAAAAAAAAACTATGACGATAGATAATTATAGCCAGTAAAATGGAAAACAGGTCCTTAAATAATCATGACTACTAAATGACACGTACAAAGACACATTTGGGGAAACCAATGGATTACTTTCTCCCTCACCACCCTCTCTCATAACACAAATTGGGAGAGATCCACAACGATGGGCTCTCTCATGGACAGATATAACTCTTCATGATAGGTTCACAAAGGTGAAGCTCTCTCACATGGAGATGTCCACAAAGATGAGCTCTCTCTCACTCACACACAGGTCCGCAAAAATGTACACTCTCTCT